CATCCCTGAGGAGATCCGGTGCTCACAGAAACAACATCAGAAAAACAGTCATTGATTTTCACTCTCTGAGATCTGTCTGTTTATCTATATAAATAACACTGACATTTGAACACTTTTGAGCTGCTGCTGGTAAGCAAGTAAATATAAAATCTGTATTTACAAAGTTACCAAATGCTTTGACTCAACAAGACCTCAGACCAAGGTCACACAAAGCACTTTACAATTTTTCATGTACCATTAATTTCCAGGAGCGAGACGCAGAACACCGGACCATCACAATCCATTCAATCACTATTTTTTTGATAATAATACATTTATTTCTTTGGCGACTTTAAAGATACTCAAGGTCTTCTTACACCACAAGCAAAAAATAGTTTTTGCTGTGGTTCTTTTGAAAGATAAGTTGGATGTATTAGGCCCTGTCCACACGAAGTCAAGCTCAGGCCTAAACGCAAAAATACTTTATCAATCCAGTGTATCGTCCATACGAGGCCGGCGTTTTGGGGGGGTGTAAACGAACATTTTTGAAACTAGGTCCCAGAGTGGAAAGATTTCAAAACTCCGTATATGCCGCTCCGTGGTTACTGCCTCTCCGCAATGTATCTGAGACGCTTGCGTCATCGCCCCGCCTCTTGTTAAAGCACGCATGCGCCGCACTCAGAAAATAATGACAACAACAATGTAGCTTGTTGGTTTTGTAATCCAGTGTGACCCGAAGCAACAGTTCAACCTCATCGTCCGTCCATACTAATGTAGTACCAGCTCGCCCACTCGCCATGTTGTCTGTTTACAAAATTCCGCGCATGCCTAGTTCCCGTCACGGAAGTTTGGGCTTGATCCCGTCATTGCGTCACAGCGCCACCAACAGGTCTGGCATAGTTTCACAGCGTTTTCAGGCGTATTGACTACATTCATATGGACGCACACATTTACTGAGCTAACTCCGTGTTTACAGAAAAAGTTTCTGAAATTATAAGCGTTTTGTCTTCGTGTGGATATAGCCTTAGCTTGTTAACATGTTTCGGGTGCAGAGCTACAAGCTGTCAATAGAACTGTCACCTGCCTTGGAGATGTACATATACTGTATCAGCTGATGATTATTCCAGAGTAGGCGTGGTCAGTCTGAAAGGTCACCCACAGTGACCACGCCCCCTCTGGCCTGGTGGTTTCTGAAGGATGTGTGCAACAGGAGGAAGGCTCCCTTATCTCGGTTGATGCTTTTGTTCCCCCAGAGTCCACTGGACGGGAGAGGGTGGGTCAGTTAATAGAGTAATACATCTAACTTGTCTTTCAGAAGAATCACAAAATAAAGGGTTACAAACATTTGAATAAGACAAAATTCACCTTTTTAATCTTTACATTCATACCTATTGTAGATGTTTTTAGAGGTAGAGGAAACCACAGCACCCGGAGGAAACCAACGCAGATATGGAGAGAACTTGTTATCTCCACACAGACCTGGAGGTGGAAGTTAACCCAGGAGCATGTTGTTGTGAGCACTCTCAGTCAGTCCCCAATGCACCAAAATAGAAATAAAAAAATTATTCAGATTATAACTGCATAAATTCAGCCTCAAGTGTGTAGTCATTAAGCGGGTGGTAAATAACTTATTTATATGACGCGGACCATACGTGCGCTCTGATTGGCTGATCATCGGGTCTGATATTTTCCCATCTCGGACCGTTACCATGACAATTGGTCAGAACAGCGCGTATCGCATTTGATCCATTCCAATATCAGATATCTTTCCTCGGACCGTTACCATGACAATCTGTCCGCAGCGCGTATCACACAAAACCAAGTCGGACATGAGCATACTTCACAAATATCTCAAAAGCATTGGTAAAGAGACGGACGAGAGTCATATAATAAAACATTTATTAACCTTGCTTGCTCGGTCCGTACAGAGAAATATCAGACCTTGGCCTTTTTGTACATTAAGGCCGCAGTCTGACATAGACCTTTAGCTCGGTTAATAAGCCGATAGTGTCTCTTTGTAGTTTAGGCTGATGGAGCTTCGCGAAGGTTCACTCTGGTAGACTGATTGCCAAAGCTATCCCCTCCAAGCCTGCCTCTCATCCTCGGCCTATCGCACAGCAAACGCCCATTCCCAGCCAACCTATGCAGGCCAGGCAAGCAGCTTAAAAGCGGAGACTCCCACTTCACGGCCTTCTCAAGCCTCGCAAACCACCGCCTCCCCTCCTCCGCCTCTCTCTCCTTGCTCGAGCGTGCGCCTTTCCTGCTGCCCTAATGCCACCACCAGTTCCTAGGCCTCGGGGGGATTGTGCGCGCACTAAGCAGGAGCCTCGCTGGCCCTAATTGCCGCACGGGGGCCTAGGACGCCAAACTACCTATCAATAAAAACATTCAAACTGCATTTTGTCTTCTGAGTCTCTCCAGATTGAATTATATTTTATGGTATGTTCCTGTGTTTTAACCCTTTAACCTTCAATCTTTGAAGAAAGCAATGTCATTTGGTTTTTTAAATTTTTTTCTAAGATGTAAGTAACATCTTTTCCACAATGGTTGAGATGCAGTTTGATGGTAAACGTGCCTAAAAACCAAGTGAGATGCAACACATTTCAGTTTTAAGGTTCAAGTCGATAAAGTGACTCAAAAGGTAATCAGTAAAGGGTTAAACTAGACCTTTATATTTTCTAATATAAATAAATACAATTATCATAAAACAAAAATGTATATGGAAGTAAGAAATATCCCAATGATGTGTGCTGATAGTTTGTCACAAGACCATTTACCAAGATTGTTTGGCACATTCTCTGTAAGCTTCACCACTTCACTCTGTCAAAGTTTACACATCGTCTTACATTTAAAAATACCTTGTTGTGGCGCCCCGCCGTGTGAGTGGTCACAGCTCATGCCAGCGGAGCGTGGCCTGCACTAATTGTAAAACTCAATGAAGCATTCTCAACAGATGCTGGTGGAACGGCTCCATTAGACCTTACAGGCGGCTGTCAGACTCATATCAAAGCCATGAAGAGTCAAACTGTCATTATCCCACAGCTCAAACTGCATCTAACCACGCACCAATTTCATTCTTATTAAATGCACATTATGAGTGGAGATGGACGGTCTTGCTCCAGTGGACTTCGGAAAGACTTTTGCTAGGACGCACACGCCACAAGTTTCTTCTAATGACATCCATAAAGTATTTACAAACTTCAATGCTAAATCCCCCTGCATGGTAATGGAAATGTTTAGAGCCATGTTTGGTAGATAAAGGCTGATCCATCTGTTTTAATTGTGCTTATTTGGCATCCCCAGCGAGCAGGCATGGCGTTAATAAAATGGCCTCGCTGGTGTGTGCTACAGAGGTTACACCAAATGATTCTCAGACCATAGTCCCATATCTGCTGCAGCTTTATTTTCATAAATGAGGGATTAATTATCGCTTCAGAAAGGAAGAGGAAGCTGTTTTCAGGAGATAAATCTGGTGTAGCCGTTGCACCCCGAGGGTCTTCATGGGTAAAAGGGTGTGGTGGTTAAGAAGGCTCATGCAATAAATGTAAATAACACGTAAAGAAATACATAACTGGACCAATCAAAAGTGGAGATTTAACTTTGACATAATAATCCTAGACAGAAGTATTTGCTTATGTGGAGAAAAAAGAAAACTCTGAAATGAGGGATACATTTGCAGTTGTTTGTGTCTCAAAGATTATTGATACTGTTACAGAGTAATCAGCATGCAGTAATCATTTTCTCGTACAGTCATCCAAAACAGACTGATGTAAAGCAGCATCCCGGCACTACAGTGTCCTTTCTAACTTTTAGAGGAACTTGTAACAATATGCTGCTTTGTTTCACTCTCTATTGTGACCGATGGGATTAAATAAGTTAAGTCTCTCCATGGCCTCGCTGCAAAGAAGCCGAGACATGTTTGTGCCTATGAAGCAACTCAATCTCTGAGGAGCACAGGGACTGGCCTCCTGCTGGTGCTCAGAGTCAGAATTAAACATGGGGAGGCAGTCTTTCAGATTTATGCAGCTAAAATCTGAAACAGTCTTCCTCAAAATGTGAGACAGGCTTCTTCTTTAAATCCAGGTTACAACAGTTCTGTTTAGTTGTGCAAACACTTGAGTGATTTTGTCTTCACACACACTTTTTTTACTATGATTATTTATAATTGTAATGCCTTGTATTGCTTTTATCTTGTTTTGTTAAGCACTTTAAGTTTCCTTTTGTTTGAACTGTGCTTTACACATACACTTGCCTTGCCTAAACAGTACAACAATACAGATTATAAAAATGGCCCAGGCATTTCTAAATTCAGATATCCAAATATTTCCCCCCAAATTTTTCCAGATATACTTATTATTATTATAAATTATTCCAATTAATGAGTTATATCCATAGATTGTATGCTTCCCCCTATAGCTCAACAAAGCCCAATATAATTTGTTTCAACTTGCTCTGGCTTCTTTTGACTTGCATTAACAAGTAAACTCCTTGTTTAGTTTATGACCTCCATATCTGCCAGTGTCACACTCACCATTTGGCTTTAACAAACAGGCGTTCAGCATTTTCTGTGATCCTGGAGTTTATCCATTGATATTTTGAGCCATAAGGATTCACCAATCAAATACCTTTGTTTGCAGAGGAAACTCCAGATCCCTTTAGCATCCATATTAAAAACACAATATAGTTTGCATCTGTCCCCGTTAAAATATAAAGAAATTGACTCCATGCTGCTAGCTTATGTTTTTTTCTGCATTCTGTTAGTCCACTCTAACTAACAGAATGCAGAAAAAAGGTTATATCCCTGCAGGTTACGATTCAATCCTTTCCATGACAATCCCTTTATACGTGAGTATTGACCATCAAAAGTTTGGACAGTCTAGATGCAGATGGTGTTCAATAGTCACTGGGTCCCTGTTCAATTCTTTCATCCACAAGTCCACGAATCAATGTGTGAATCAATGTTTCCAAAGCAGCAAAAGACTTGAAGCTTGCATTTGGGCGTTCAACCATGTGGAGATGATATGTTCTCCTCGAAAAAAAGAGACGAGTGAGCATTATTTGGAGACAATCACTTGAACCTGAGCTCGAGTGAATTCTCAAATATACAATACAATACAATACAATACAATTTATTCTTGTATAGCCCTAGGTCACAACAGAAGTCATCTCAGAGGACTTAACAAAACCATTGAAATCACCAACACAGGTCAGAGAATCAACAGTTAAAACACATGAAGAATATAAAGCACACACAGAAGAAAATGTCCATACATGTTGTAGAATGCTAAAGTGTCCTGATCATCACCAATCCTTTCTGTTGGACACTAACTGTCCAACAAGACCCTCCTGCATCGACAAGGAAAAACTCTTAAAAAACCCAGTGGGAAAACGTGAGAAACCTTGGGGAGCACTAGGGAAACCCACAGGGAGGGAGACCCATATGGGTCTCCCTCCCTGTGGGTTTCCCTAGTATAAAATATAAAAGTTCAAACCCAGGACGAGGACGAGTGGGCTCCGTCGCACAATCGCAGGGCTGAGCGTGATTTGATGTCTGTGTGTACGTAACATGGCAGCCACTCCTGAGGGATATTAACACCGACAATCTTGAGTGAGCATTCATCAGGCTCTGTTGCCACCACACTCCGGTGTACACCATCATCGTACGCAACAATGGCCCGCTGATCAAAGAGCGCTCATTATCCCTCCTCCATGGTGGATCGGAAATAACCAATCAGCTGCAAGCGTGAGAGCGGCCTAGGCTTTCAATGCGCCTCAGCACGCCATTTCAAATTTGAATCCTTTTCTCTCGGCAAATGTTGATTTGAGCGACATTTGGGAAGCGCCCATGATTGCGTTAACAATAAGAGAGAAAGAGTGTGCGTCTAATTTATCTGCAATGAAAATCTCCCTGGTAATCAGCCTCTTAAAGTGGAGTGATCAAATGGACCACAAGATGTCCGCCTGATACAGAAGCGTTAGCATTAATGCATAAGTGATGAGGGGATCTGAGCGGCGAGATGAGATCTGACCTGGATTATCTTTTTTGAGGCTCTGCTTGAATTACATCGATCGTAATCACAAATGAGAATGTCAATTGACCTCCACTTGTCACGTTACATGCTCGGCTGCACATTCGCTAATGACAGCCGCTACACAAGATGACATTTTCCCGAGATAGAAGAGGCATAGTTTAGAAGACGATGAGGACAAAAGTTGATTGTAAAATTGAAAAACAGTCAACATTTTCCAAATGTTTTCATTTTTATGGTTTTGGGCGAAATATTGCCATGCATTTCAACATGATCTACTTATCAGTTTTTAGAGTTGTGCTATACTTCATTCCTCATTCCTACCGTTCTCTAACTTGTGATGCAACACTGATATTTCCCCAGTGTGCAATGAATAAATAATTTCTTTATATTTTGAATAAGTTAGCATTTAATTTACATGTTATAATATCTATACAGTTTGCATTGTTTAGCTTGGGGCTTGTAAATAATGCCTAAACCTTCTGATTATTTGACTACTTAGATTTTGGGTTATTTATGAAAAATAATTCATGAATTTTCTCTCATTCATTCCTAGGGTATCTGGGGTGAAACTGACATAGTCCTTTTTAAATATTTTTTTAGTATTTATGTTTTTGATAAACATCCTCTCATAAGTGTTGTGCAGGTTTACTGGATTGATTGGTGATGCAAAGGGCTAAAGCAACTTGACGGTTAACCATAGGAGCTGCCTTCACCTTATGTGTAGAAGATAATACTTACATTATGCTGAAAAATGTGAAAATATGATTTTTTTAAATCCGAGTTGTGGGTCGGTTTGGGTCCCTTCTTCAAGTGGCTGTCTGGAGCATTGCTGTGTTTTTGAGTCCTTGAGAACATCATTTACAGATCAAAGATTATTACATTATTGCTATTACTTACAAGTGATGAGTCTGTAAAATAAATAGAGGAAAGAGGAGAATGACTTGCCTGATTCTTTTTTAACACTAGGAGCGCCCCTAGCGGTCAACTGACCGTCACTCACTTTAATATGCTAATTAGTGTATTCAAAACAAAACGCCAGAAGTTGAAATTTTATGACTTTTTCTAGGTACTTGTTGTTTATATTTTGGTGTGTTTTGGTTTTGGAAAAAGTAAAGAAAACAAGATTTACACGTATTTTAACTTTTCTAAACCACAGCCCTTTCTGCTTCCCCATGGAGATACATGGCGCAGGGGCGCCTGTTGTCATAGTAACCTTTCCCGGGGGTTTTTCGCGCCTTATAAAAATGTATCAATATGTTGTCATTAGACTCTAAAGGGACTTTTTTATTATTATTTGGGAGAGAGAGAGGAGTACAAAATGAATAGAGCTGCAAGTACACGGTATGAAGCGCTGACAGTGCTTCAAGACATTGAATGAGAACAGTCTGACGGAGGTGAGAGATGTCACATTTTGAGGTAGAAAGTGACAGCGGGGAGAACACCTATAATATTCTAAATCTGAACGTAACCCCAAAGTGCATTCACGGCACGGACAGCAGTGTTGTAACAAGTCGCAATAACGCACATGACCCGCGTAATGCCAGCCATACGCAGGTGTCTGTGTGCGCGCTGTCGCTCCATTCTGCCTTTTCATTCATCATCAATTACATTATTATATTTATACATACAAGAAGGCAATACAGCAGAATACAATATCGTAATAAAATAGAACAATTCGATGAACTATCAAGGCAGAGTGCCGATCAGAGTGCTCGTCACCCGCGGACACTGCAGAGAGGGACTGTGGGGCAGAGGCGGCCCTCATATATCAATAAGGATATAATTCTTATTTCATCCAGATAACACTGTGTGTTATTCTGCACAGCGCGCACTGCAAGGCAATGATTATAATTTTGTTCTGAGCATAAAGAGCACTGCTTGTCTCAAATAAATACAAATAAATATATACATATATTTGTCTTTCTAACGTGTCCCGTGTAAAATTGAAGATTGTACATTGACGATGGAAGCCTAGCTGATGATCTTGTGTCAATACGAATATTATTATTATTATCTAGATAATATTTCCCACGGTGACTTCGGCTGGAAAGAGAAAACAGTCTGGAGATGACGTAGAAGTCGACGCATATAGCAGCGCGAAGACGTTATGGTCCTGTGCTTTTCTAAACTATCCTTTATATTGTTTGAATTTACATATTGTTACTGAGTCAAATATAACATATAGTGAGCAACCTTTTAGGTGTTTGCAAAGTTACAAAATAAATCTAGCCTGAAAAGTCATCGTAATTTTGATGGATCAGTACACGCACAATGTGTCGTCTTAGCCTTTTATTTCGGCTGGAATTACAATTACTTAGCATATTTAGACAAATAATTTACACAGTTTCATTATGATCACGATTCCTTTGCAACATCAAGTTCTGGTTTAGTGAACAATCAATTTGGCAAAAGGCTGTATCAGCGCAAAATACATAGCGGTCAACTGACCGCAGGGGGCGGTGCAAGGTATGTTTAGAGCGCGGCGGTCCTAGTGTTAATTAGTTCATAAAAATGCGTATTACTACATACAAGTTCTTATATAATCCGTACTTTAATTGAAAACTTGAGCTCACCCACTAAGCAAGCCGACGTTGAATCAACGTAATTTGAACGTCGTTGTCCGACGTAGAATATAGGTCACTGGTGGGTGCAGAATGAAAGTTTTCTCGACGTCGTTTCCCGACGTCACCTCAACCTCCAAATGTTACGTTGATGGCACGTCAATTCAAGGTTTGAATGTGGTACGGAAACGGTCGGGTCTGACGTCCTATCAACGTCTCATATGACCAAAATATTCACGTTTATATGACGTTCGTTTTCAGTTGTTCCCACTAAGCAAGCAGATGTCAATACAACGTAATTTCAACGTCATCTGGACGTTCATTCAAGGTTGCAATGTGGTACAGAACCGGTCGGGTCCGACGTCCTATCAACGTCTTATATGACCAAAATATTGCCTTCATATGACGTTCGTTTTCCGTTGTTCCCACTAAGCAAGCAGATGTCAATACAACGTAATTTCAACGTCATCTGGACGTTCATTCAAGGTTGCAATGTGGTACAGAACCGGTCGGGTCCGACGTCCTCTCGACGTCTTATATGACCAAAATATTTACGTTTATATGACGTCCATTTACAGTCCTATTGACCTACCCATCGACCTCTGCAGAATCACTCACTAGTCGAGACATACGTTTTGCAATAGGCAAGGCAAGTTTATTTGTATAGCACAGTCAAAACAAAAGGAAACTCAAAGCACTGAACAAAAGATAGAAACAATCAAACAAGGCATTACAATTATAAATATTGACAGTAAATTAAAAAGATACAAATAAAATCTCTCATAAAATCTCTCAGTTGAAGCAGAAACAGAAGTGTTTCAAACCTGGATTTTAACATTGTCAAAGAAGAAGCCTGTCTCACATTTCCAGGAAGACCGTTCCAGATTTTAGCCTTGTGAATCTGAAATGCAGCTTTATCATGTTTAGTTCTGACTCTGGGCAATAAACGATAAACACAGCATTCAAAAATCATTAGAACAACTGTAGTAGAAGGATATCAGTCATTATTGCAAATGGAGCTGCATTAAAAATCATGTTTCTCTACATCAAAGTACAAGTTAAAGCACACAGGGCACAGTGTTATGAACACTACTGTACTGAACAGTTCATGCCAAAGTAAAAAAACATGATTGTAGCGCCTATGTATTGGATCAGTAGGCACAAGCTACACTCTAGGTTCCCCAGATGTAAAAACACAATCTGAAAGGCAGAAGAATGCATTTATTGAACGTTGATGTTCCAACATGTGTCCTCTCTTGGTCTTCAGTCTCTCATCACAAGGTCCAAGCACAGCACCTGAAAATGTGGAACATGTTTAGTTTCAACATAATGTGGCAAAGTGATATAACAACACATAACTTTCTATTAATGCCTCAAACCACTCGATCCATCACCATGTGATACAAACCTTGGCACTGCACTAGCTCGAGACACTGGAAGACACTCCGTCTGAGAAACTTGGGATAAGGCTTTGGTCATTGGAGTAATTCTATGTAAAAACAATTGCAAATGTGCATTTGTTTTGCACTTGGACACATGAGCCCTGAAAGCTACTTACCCTGTATTACTCTACACATGTTGCATTTCCGAGGGGGCATTTTCCCCTTGTTGCTCTTTTCCCTCATCTTGAGTGAGTTGCTGAACAATCTGAGAAAAAGATAGATGTTTTCAAAGAGAATACACCAAATAATGGTTTATTCTAAAAACAACATAATAATACAGAAGAACAATCAATGTGTGAGAGTGTGATTCTTACCTTTGAACACCTTCAACACAGTCTGACACCTGTAATGGTGCGTTCAGACCAAACGCGATTTCTGCGGCCAAATCGCGTATATCGCGCGGCTTGAGCCGCTTGTGACAAATTGTGGCAGCCGCTGTCACAGAGAAACTTGGCCGCGCGGCCAGGACACTAGAGGGCAGCCGCTGTCACAGAGCGTTGAGAGCGTTTAGGGGCGGGGCTTGTCTCTTTTGCCTGTAGCTTCCCAAAATGGATGTCAGCGAAGGAGTTGCTTGGCTCTATCTAATAAATAAAGCCAGACAGCGTCGTCAAAGGGCGAATCGACGACGTGTCTGGATTCACCAGATAGTCCGTAGACGGTTGGAGTTTGGTGAGTTTCACCATTTGCTCCGGGAGCTGCGCTCGGATGAGGGTCGCTTTCAGCGGTACTTTCGTCTCTCCCTGGCCCAGTTTGACGACCTACTGACCCGCATTGGCGCAAGGATCACCTACCAGGACACCAACTACAGGCGCTCTATTCCAGCTGAAGAGCGCCTGTCCATCTGTCTGCGGTTAGTGTTTTTTACCCCATTCGGAATTCCTAAATACTTACAAAGTTTGTCATTTTTCAATCACAATCCACAATGTAATAGCTCAGAAAACAGTATTATGCAACAATATGGTGTCTATGATTACTGTCTATGATGTTTACTGTCTACTAGTTTAACGTATTTTATGCTACACAAGTTTTGTCACGTGATTGTTATGAATGTAATTGTGATAAATATGTTCATATCATTTTGTAATTGCAGGTTTCTTGCCACTGGGGACTCCTACAGGACCATTGCGGGGAGCTTCAGAGCGGGCATATCCACCGTCTCCATGCTCATCCCAGATGTGGTGGCAGCCATCTGGGACTTCCTCGTGGAGGAGTTCATGGCTGTGCCTGGAGCAGAGGAGTGGAGGTCCATAGCGCAGGACTTTGAGGTCCGATGGAACTTCCCTCTGTGCTGTGGGGCCATTGATGGGAAGCATGTGGCTGTGAAGGCACCCCCCAACTCTGGGCCCATGTTTTTTTAATTACAAGGGGCACCATTCCCTTGTGCTCCTGGCTGTAGTGGATGCCCAGTACAGGTTCAGGGTGATTGATGTGGGAGGGTACGGCAGATCCAGCGATGGAGGCATCGTGTCCAACTCTGCCTTTGGTGAGGCTCTGCGCGAGGGCACACTCGACCTGCCTCCTGACCAGTGCATACCTGGAGCTCACCACAGAGGACCCCAGCCCCATGTGTTCGTGGCAGATGAGGCCTTTTCACTGCGCTGCAATTTAATGCGCCCTGCCCATCTCCAGCCATGAGGATGGCTGGAGATGGGCAGGTTCCTGCACCGAGGGGAGCTGCTGTCGGTGAAGAACCACTTCCAGGCGTGCAGCGGATGGCCGCCTGGAAGCCAGCAGTGGACATAAGGAAAGTGTTCATGGCCCACTTCAGTGAGGAGGGAGCACTGCCGTGGCAGCCCACAGAGTAGTCATGTCCACCACAAGACTGACCCACATCTGGCCATAGTCCAAACCCATATTGATTTGCACTATTCTATTCACCTGTATACCTTCTGTTTCTAGGTAATGACTGCCAGACTCCACTGCGACTCCACTCCAACTTCAGGTTAATCATATGCACATTCAAGCTTTTCCATAATTACAAGGTTGTTAAAACAGTAAAAGGTGAAATGAATAAAAAATACTGTCAACTACTGTATCGCTCTTTAAGTGTTCGTTATTCCATCTTCTATAAAACCCAGTCAGCTCTTATAAAAGTAAATGTACAAATATAGAATAGCATTTTCTGTCAATATTATATGAAAGGTAGTAATGGTTGGCTTGAAGTAGAACACATGAGGTTTGAAAAATATTTTCTTTATAAAAAAAGGAACAAACAATGAAAAATAAATGAAATGTACATATAAACAAATGAAAAGGAGCTTGCTTGGAGGAGGTGCGGTGGAAGAGGAAAGGGACACATGTCTGTTTCCTCCCCTGCAAAAGGTGTCACCTTAGGTCAAAAAACTGTCTGTTCTGGCCAATGGTTCCAAATTAAGAAGAACGGTGCTGCTTTCATATAAAAGTTGGTACATTTTGAATTTCACAAATTCTTTTGACTCTGGTGCCACCCTTTGCAGGAGAGGAAAGAGAGAGAGCAGGAACTGATGGTCTTCTGAGTAGTCGGGCGGTCCGGCTGCTTTGGTCCGTAGAGTCTCCAGCAGCTCCCGCTCCCACTCTGAAGGCCCACCAAGGAAGAGGGCTCGGAAGAGGCCCACGTCCGTAGAGCCGCCAACAAAGAACACAGGGCAATCACAGTGTTAAAAAGTGGAACATGTATTTCAAAAAAGCAAAATGAAGAGAGCAAATAATATCTGTATTAAAGCCAGAGTGTGTAGACATAGTTAAACACATGTAAAACACTTTTAAGTTGTGTGTTTGTTACAATTAACTTGAACATTGCAGTTATCAATGAAATTACTCACACAAGCACAAATTTCGACAGTTACAAACTAATATCTCTGAAGTGTATTTCGCAATGAAATTTGAAATTGGCTGTAAAAAAGTAATACTCTATTGTCTGCATTAAACAGGATAGCTGCCATCTTGTGGCAACCATTGCATGTATTTGTTCAGTACTTTTATAGCATAAGGTATTTCAGTAGTATGTTTTTATCGAAGAAAGAGGGAAGATGTGTTGTATCAGACCAAAGCTTCTTTCCACCTGTAGTGCCTTGACATCTTGGTGTTTCTCTGTAAATTTGTCGTCTACACTGATGTAACAGCCCTTGGGTAATTTTGGCATATTATGCAGTAACATTTTGTTTATATGAACAGTCCTGTAAAAAGAATAAAAATAAAACAATGATTAAAAAAAGCCACACCTGTAGGTGCAGAAGCAGGGGAAGGTCCAGCCCTCACAGAAGAAGAACCGGCTGAGGAAGCAGCAGCAGCAGCAGCAGCAGCTCAGGCAGCTCAGGCCAAGATGTCTCCCCTTGTGTGGTGGTGGCAGTGTCTGTGCCAGAAGAAAACAAGAAATACAATTATTTCATATCATGTGTACATTGCGCTTATGACATTTATATGTACATAATAATGTACATTATTATGTACATTTAAATGATTTGTTCATATAAAAGGGAAAAGTGAAATTTAACACAACACATGATCAAGATCTATCCTGGTTTGAAAATAGCCAATGCCTATTTTCACCTGGCCATGATGTTAAGAAATCATTAAAAGAAATGCATACACAGAAAGCAATATAAATGTAAAAGTCAGCAAAATGTGGGTAATAGAAAGGAAAGAAATGTATTTTTTCCAACTGTTGGAGGTCTCTGTTTGCTGCATGACACCGACCTTCAGCACCTGACAGCCCTGCTGCTGCTGCTTCCTCTGGCTCTTCTTCTGGGTGGTTGTACCCTGTGGTCTGCTCCTCCTCGGCCCTTCGCCTTGGCATGTTCCCGGAGCTGTCACGGGGAGTGATGTAGGGCTCGAGGAAGGACATGACCACAAGGTACTTCCACGTCTGGCCTTTCCCTGCTTCTGCTACACTCTTCTTCACCTTCTCCTTCTTCCTGCTCTCCTTAGCATATGTGTCCCTCAGATTCTTCCACCGCTTTTTGCAAACTTCCACTGAATAAACACATCAACTCGTAAGCAGGAAAGTAGTAGTTTTTTTCGCGGGGAAATATTTACAACATTGAAAAGTTAAAATAACTTACCCGAGACACCAACCACCTCGCTAACCCTCCTCCAAGCAAGCTCCTTTTTATTTCGGTCCCGGTAGCTGTGGTCCGCAGTGTTATATAGCTCAGAATGAGCACCGACCTGAGCAATTGACGTGTCCTCCATAGCTGTCATCTACTAGTGTTTTTCCGGTAGTGAAATGCGTCACTACGTCACTGGAGGAGAAAGCTCCTGATTGGTCGGCACACGCGAATTCTCCCAAAAAGTTCAACATTGTTCAACTCTAGCGGCGGCCGCGTTGGAGGCACGAATCGCGCGAAACGCGCGTCAAAACGCTTGACATCTCAAAACACGCCGCGCGAATCGCGCGAAACGCTCGAATTCGCGCCGCTCTGGCCGCGCGAATCGCGCCGCGTGATCTCTCGCCGCTCCTTGGCGCGCGTCCCCCATGTTGTGTCAATGTAGACCCGCCGCTTTGGCCGCAGAAATCGCGTTTGGTCTGAACGCACCATAAGACTCAAACACACATGACACATTAGGAATACACATAGAACATTAGTTATTGCAACAATCATGAAATTATACTCTATGGATTTCACAATAATTGACTGCATTAGCAAAGGTAAATGTATTTTAATTAACATATGGCTGGTTTTAAAGTTTATAAGAAAAAGTAAGAAATTGAATAGAGTTGCAAGCGCTAGTTAGCTTGCTACCAGCAGATGAATGGATATTTAATATTTGCAGCTAACAATAACAACAATAACAACTGTAGTGGCTCATTTAAACAGCCACAGTGAGAAGAAGTAAAAGTCTCTGACATTGAAGACCTGGGAAGACATTAAATCCATTTATTAAACAAAGCAATACATTAACATTAAACTCTCTTTCTGCAGCAGGTAACATCTGTGTGCTCCTATGGTCCCACATGGTCCCACACCTGAACTCAACTCCAACTGATGACATCACAGGTGTCTAAATGATGGGAGTGTCCCAAATATTAAAGCTGATCTCCCTGTTTTTAAACTTAGTTTACTAAGTACTGTTGTCTTTCTGCAGTTTATAAACCATTGTGAAATATACAGTAACTTTACATTTAAGAATTGAATTATTATTTTAAAACTCAAGAATCTTAACCTTTTTTAACACATAGTTTGTTGGACAGTCTAACCTAAGCATTCTAATGTGTTAAAAATAGTTTGAAATATGAAAAACAATATCATATTTTAAACTTTAACTTAAAAACAAAAAAAGGTGTCTCCCTTTCAGCTGAGCAGTGCCAGCCGTTATTATTATAGATTCATGCACTGGCAATTCAAAATACAGATAATATACAAAATATTCATTTTTTTCAACCCCTTTATTTGTCCATTTCTGGGTCAGGGGGGTGGCAATGAGAGCTGCCACCCAATGCTCATAGCACCAGTCCCTCGCTGATCTTCTGCAGGGGGTGAGTCCACAGGAAGATGGCTGCTCCGTCAGTTGAGAAACCGCCTTGATCTTTCAGTGGGGGCTTCAGGCAACGTGGGGTTAAGTGTCTTGCCCAAGGACACAACGACAGCAGTCATCAGTGGGAGCAGAATATACAAAATATACTTAACAAAATCCACGTATACGTGAGAAAACAACTTACTTTCTGTCTCCAACTCTTTTCAATGTGGAAATGATACATCTATATCTAAAAACTGTGCAGACTGTACTTACTAGAGAGGGTGATTCCAAGTAAATAAATCAGGGCAGCGACAGAGGTACAGATTCAACGTCATATCAACGTCTGGGAAGGCATTACGTCCAGATGCACACCTTACGTCGTTTAGACGTGGAAAACAGGTCCTCGACCGAGCGACTCACGTGTCAGGCTGTAAAGCTAAGATAAGTTATACTCGCGCGGCGCATAAGTGTGCGTCGGTTGTTTAGGGTGCTATGTATTATTTTTTCACAGTAGTCAGAAAAAATGCCTGGCCGTGGTGTAGCGGTTGCGTAATGAGACTTCAGTCCCAACGACGCGGGTTCAAATCCCCGTCGGAAAACTTTTGACTTTTCACTTTTTAGCGAACAATTTCTCTGTTTGGTTAAAAACGAATAAACACTCAACATAAGATTATGTAGTGGCTAATAATAAAACTTGTGAACCCATGCATTTGCATAAAATCTCAAGTGCTCACCCCATATTTGCAAACTTGAGATTGTTAGCACAACAAATGCATACATTCACAAGTTTTATTATTAGCCACTACGTAATCCTATGTTGAGTGTTTATTAGTCTTTAACCAAACAGAAAAAAATTGTTCGTTAAAAATCAAAACAAATATGTAAAGATAATAATACACACACGTGGGCTTGAACTCACGTAACCAAGACTGCACACATAGCGAACTATCTGAATGACGTCACTAAGACACGCCCCCGCCGCCTGTCAACTCCCGCCCACATGTTTCGGACAAACACTGCCAAAATGAATCAAATACCTCTTGTCACTTTAGACGAAAATGATAAACCAGGGGCAAAATTCCACCATCAAACCATCAGGGATCATAGTGTAGACCAATTAAAACGTTGGCTTGAATGTCGTGGTCTTCCAGTAACTGGTAGAAAGTTTGATTTGATAAAAAGGTAATGGTGAGGATTATGCTAACATTATCTAGTCATTTAAATTGCAATGTTAGCGCCTTCTTTGTTTATTTTGCTCTGATTAACTTCCATTTATCAAGTTGTTTTTTGTACTGTCCATTTCGTAATTAGTTTGATCATTTAGTTAACTACAGTCAGCCGATATTATAATAGATCCATGGGGTCACAACGGGTTACGCCACTACTGTCTCTGAGAGAGAAACTATCGGAGCTAGCCACACTCAGTAAACGCAAACGACAATCAATCAACATATTTAAATGTTAATGCTAGAATATAATATTCATACAACACACGTGCACAGAGGTTTTCAGAATTATCTGTTAAGGTTTTCATGACAAAAATACTTTTTTAATGCGACTAAAGCGATCGCTTTTTTAAAGTAGGTGAACTAAAACCTTTGGGAACTATTTTCTTTGCACTCATTAAATAAACCTTTTGGCATGAATAGTGACAGAAGTTTATTTTGTGTGTTCAGTTGGTACAAAGCCGTATAATAAGCGGACCCCAACGCGCTTCGTCTGTGCTTATTTTCCGATAGTCACGAAGTTGAAAAAATCCCTCTCATCTTTCTTCAGGTGTGAGAATTGTATACATTCTGGATTAGGACAAACAATACTAATATGGATTGATGGGGCTAACTACATTCAGAAGAGCTCAGACGGACCTGATACAGCGGTCCAGGTCCAGTCCCAGCTAAACGTAGCTAGGACTGGATCTGGAGGCTCCACAGTTGGTCCAGCGAAGTGTTTTGAAAAAACATGTCCTTTTTAACATTTTCATGAGAGAAATTCTGCTGACCACAAGCACCCACCTCTTGCACTTGTCCTGGTCTGGTCCTGGTCTGGTC